AATGCATGCATTACAGCACATAAAATAAAACTAAATTTTGTCTATGCACCGCGGCAGACAGTCAGTGTACCGTGGCATGTGGCACAAAGCCACACGCTCTCTTTGTCTGTGTCGTGTGCCGCAGTACACCTGTCCATTTTTTTACTGTCATTTCGACAGCAAAATGAAGAACTTTCAGTGTGCACCAATTTCGCATACGACCTCTGATTGGAGTGATTCAAGTGCCCACATGAAACTTAGCTCATATACTAACTAATGAGATATGTTTGGACATGATCTAATAATCTGATTGAAATTTAAACACTTAGGTGTAAAAAGTCATTTTTTTTGAAAATTTGGCGCACCGAAGCGCTAAAATCAATCCCTTTCTTTTATTAGACCATACTAGGCCTTAAACCAAGTTCAAAAGGATCTAAAACACCTGATTGACCACAATTAATCACAATCATACACATATATCAAAATTTGACCCCTCTACAACCAATTTTCACAATTTACTAATTTCACAAATTATGCCATTTCTTGCATAACATAGCCCACTTGGCTACTTCTCAACTCAATCATATACAAACATATGCATTCATATTTATAATACAATCTTAGCCCTCAAATTACTCATTTCATCATAATTTTAGCTTTTGGCTTTAGATTCACCCATAACAACTAAAATACGATCTTAGCCCTCAAATTACTCCTTTCCTCATAATTTGTCCTTTAACTTAAGATTCACTAACACATAATCATTTCAACACCAACATATTCAAATCAAAGCTCCCTTGTCTCGAACAACACATATACATATAATTCGGGCTTAATTTCACAAAAACTCAATTCAATCATGCATGCAACCTATGGCACCTTTTAAGGCATTAAGGAGAATTGTTTTCAATATCACACCCTAACAGGGTACTAAAAAAACCTTATCATATGATCTTTATCATTCCCTATATTCAAGTAAACTCCCACCACTCAGATCATGCTTTCTCAAACCATTTAAGGTTCCCTTTTCACAATTTACTTTTTCTTATGCATAATATGTACACACACACACACATCACTTACATTACAAAACACAATTTCAATGCTCATTTTAACCAAAAGTTATTTTACACATACAATCACTCAATGCTATAAAACATGCTCAATTCAAAATCAGTTCATGCACTACATAGCATACTAGCATACAATTATAATAAACAGTCAAACAAAGAAAGTTATTCGGTTACCTTAATTTTTCTATCACTAGAAAGGTTACTCGTAGGATCACTATCGTACAGGCTTATTTCAAGCTTCCTTTCTCTACTCACGCATCCAATATGCTAATCTGAATAAATTTGGCACATTAATCATTTGGCCCATTTTGACTAAAAACTTATTTTTATTATTTAAGACTATATTCATCTGTAAACTCTTTTTCATTTATCCATTACTACTTTATATCACCTCAATAGGTCTTATTTCACTCAAGACAGATTTTGCCTTAACTTTCTCTCTCTAAAGACCCAAAATTAAGCCTTCGGGTTTAAAGCTCTACCGTTCAGCTCTAAACCAGTCATAAAGCTCTAATTTAGCTTTCAAGAACCTTTTTATTACTATTAGACAAGAATTAAACCTCTCAAATTCCACTGGTTCAATTTTTCTATAACTCATTTTTAGAGAAATTTGTGTAGAATGGAAGGTAAGAGTTATATGTAGCTTACCTAGCAAGTTACTGATCTGAATCACCTTCCACCGCTCCAAAATAACTTGACCTAGCTCCTCACCCCTTCTTCCCTCTCTGTTTTATGTGTTTCTCAAATTTTCTCTTCTGAAATTTTTTGAAATTCATGACTTATGGAGTGAATTTCTAGTCTATGCGTCGCGGTGCACAAAGCACGAGTCGTGGCGTGTGGTACAGTGAGACTTTATCTCACCATGCGTACTTGCTTCAACCTGAAACACTCTCTTATTACCCATATCTGTTCATACAACACACAAACTAGTCAAAATACCAATCAGTTCTTTGAATCTCTAATCCCACTTTAATTTTTACTTCTTCCTTGATTTACCTCTAAACTTAGGATTAAAAAATTCAGGAAGTTAAATAGACCCTAATTTAATCTTGGTGGATTTAGTGAGAAATCTCAAAGAGGTCGTGGAAATTGGATGTAGGCTCAAGTATATAGAATTAAGTCATTCTTGTTTGGTGATATTATTCTTTACTTATCTTTATATCTGCTTGAATTGCATTAAATTTTAATTAATCCAATTCACCCCATTTTGGGCATATTTTACAGGTCGTCTAGCATAGAAGAACCAATTGAGAATGCTTCTTATTAAGCTGTGTATTTAGAGCTATTATGGATATAGTCTTGCTCCGTTCTTATTCTCTAAAACTTAGTAGTAGGAACAACTCCACCATTCAAATCCCCTAATAGATGGTTTTATCAAACTTAATAATGATACCTCTATACTAAGAAACATGGATAGTGTGTGGGAGAGGGGAGTTCTACATAATAGTGAAGATAGTTGGATTAAGGGATTATATGTTGCAAAATGGACCCCTATCCTCCTACAATTGCAGAGGTTATGGGCATAACCAAAGGGTTGGGAATTTGCAAGAAGATGGGATTGAAAAAGGTTGAAATTAACAATGATTGTATTGAAGCCTTAAACATGATATTCAAAGACAACATTAATGACCATCCCTTCAATGAAGTGATTCAAATTGGATTATTTATTATGCTTTTGTGTATAGAAAAGCTAATGAGTGTGTCAAGTTGTTTGTTAAATTTGCTTCTGATTTGAATTTTCCCTTTTAAGTTTTTGATCATCCTCTACTTTGTTGCTGTAAGGTGGTGAATAATGAAAGGGTGTCTAAAAAGTAGTTAATTATTTTCTTGGTTGTAGTTTGTTACTTTGCTTTAACCAATACATCAAGTTATCCTTTTTATTATTAAAAAAAAACTAATACGAACTTATCATTTTAATAAAAATCAGTTATAAATTCAATAATATTTACTTGTCACTTACTCACTTTAGTTTTCAAACTACTTACTTGTGGAGAACATAAGTCAAGTTGTAATTTTTTTAAGGTTTACTTATCAATGTACTAAGGGGTACTTGTTAATATTGTTTAACATGTAAAAAGTGTTAATAATATTCAACTTGTAAAAAGTATTTTTATTGATCAGAGCACCTTGATACCTGCTTTATCTTTGGTTAGTAGTTGCAAATAATGTCCCATCAAGTCAACAAGATGGGGTATTTAGAGTTAAAAAAAGAAAGATCTCTAGTACTTTTTGAGACTTGTTTTTTATTTTTGAAAACAAAAAAAATTAAAATTTATTTGAATAAGTATTTTTTATTTAGTTTTTTTTAAAATTTTTTATTTTTTTTAAAATAAGAAAAATAAAACAACTTTAACTTTTTAAAAATAAAAAAACAAAAAAATTTTAAGTTATTTTCATTTTATTTTTCTTATTTTTAAAATATATTAAATTGATTGTTAAAAATTATAGCTACCTTGATCAATTTTTATTCTTAATCATTACTATTAATTGCCTATTATCATTACTATCACTCCATTTTTTAATTTTAAAACTTTTTTTTATTTAGATAATTAAACATATTTTTATTTTGCTTTGTTTTAAAAATAATTTTAAAAATTATATTGTAAAACAGTTTTTAAAAATAAAAAAAATAAGAACAGAAACTAAACATGTCTTTAATTTGCTTGATTTTCATTTCCTTTCACAATACAATCTTACACCAATTAGTAGGGGCGAAAAAAAGAAAAGAAATACTTTCTTTATTTCTACAACTTCAGTTTTCCTTCTTTCATTTTATGAATCCTTATATATTAGCTTCCCCTTGAAGATTTGCACATTGTTTGTCACCAAGGACTCTATTTTCAGATTCCATTAGTGGAAGAGCAAAGTTGTCTTCTCAATTCAAGTATCTTCTTTTTTATTCAAATTTTCCTTACTTCACCTTTTCTGCTTCCATGTTTCCCTTTTCCGGATTCTCTAAGGCCCCGTTTGGTATGATTGAATAGTTTTTGATGGAATTGGAATTGGAATTGGAATTGGAATTGGAATCAGAATTGGAATAGAATTGAATTATAAAAGTACGTTTGGTATGTCAGAAAAATTAGATGGAATCCTTGCATTACTTTTGTTTGGTATGCAAGACATGGAAATGAAATTATACTTAAAAGACAAAAATACCCCTATATAAAAATTAAAATAAAACATAATAAAAACTTAATTGTGTATCAATTTTCTTATGTATTTTATATATTAATGAAATATTATATAAATCATAGATTATATTTGTAACTATTATTCATTAGCTTGGGCCAAACAAAAAGTTTTATCATCAAAGGAAACATTTTCTTGAAAATAAAATTGGCAATGGTTCCCATCCCTTCTACTTTAAAATAAATACACTAACACGTAGATTTAGAAAAAAAATGTCAAACAAATCAATTCTACTTCTTATACCAAAAAAATATTATAAATATATAAATTATATACAAATATTATATATAATACTATCTTATATATATATTATAACGTTTTATATATAATGAGCAAAAATATCATTCAACCTTTTATACTCCCTTTTTCTTTTTTTTGCTAGCATATGATAGCATTTTCTATTTCCATATTCAGTTTAGCAGGATCTCAAATCTAGACCAATATTGTTTCAACCATGCTTGAGAAATATAGACCTTGGGAGTTGAATTCATTCTATAACTCCATAAGAAATGATTGTGAATTTGAGTAGATCAGAAAAAAAAAAGCTAGCAAATTGAACAGACTCATGAATTTGGCTAGAGAAAATGTAACTAGAAAGATTCATGCCTTTCCACCTCTTCCCATCACTAAGGATGAAGTTAACTATTTATCACATAAGTAGCATTTGTACAAAATGTCTGACTCAATTTTTTTGCCATATCTTCCAATGCACAATTTACCTACCATGGCAAAACCAAAAAATGAACTAAAGAAGTAGACTTGAGCACTTTACAATCAGACTTCCTATATATAAGGCAGCCACAACTATGTAATCAAAAAGGCTACCAACCATGACAGAGCCAAAAAAATATATCCATCATGGTTTACAATATAGACTTAGCTACACTATAATACCCAAAAAGAAGCAGCATATATGACTTACACATAACGCATTTATGCATAAAGTATTTTACGAACCACAGCTGCCTTAGCCTTATCTGGTAGGTTAGGAAATCCAACAAGAATTTTATCATCACCTATCATTTTAAGATATGCATCAGTGCGCTCATTGTCAGTAAGATCTTCAACCTTCAACAACTCATCATATAGAGCCTCTCTTCGTGCATCTAACATTGCTTCTCGAGCCAACTTGTCTAAACGAGCTCCTAATTGGGCAGAGGAATCCTTGATGTCTTGGGAAGTAGCTGCTAACATCTCTTTAAGTGCCTCAGTCAAAAACTCATCACGATCTTGACTAGTTCTTTTCCTTTTCTTAGACTTAGAAGTGCCAACATTTGTGTTTTCTGATGGATGGTCTGAGAATGTAATTGATGGATCCATCTCTAGTCCAATATCCACAGTATCTTCATCAACATTAGTAGCTATTGTATCAAACTCTGTATCAGCTTCAACCTCATGCACATCATTGCTTGAAAGTGACCCTTTTCCTACAGCTCTATCTTTTCCAAATATAGAGCATAGTGCATCAAAGAGAGGAAAGGGTTTGTTCTTGAAATGAGCAGCTTTTTTATGGCTCTACAAACACAAAATCACATAAAAATATCAACAGCTAGTAAGCTTACACACTCAAATCTGCATCAATATTTATTATAAGTATAAAAGCTGATATAAAAAATATTTTTCTAGTAAAGTTTTACCTTAACATACTCATCCCACACTTCCTTGTCTGCTGTGACACATTGTTTGTCGGGGTCCCAACCAAATCCAGATGTGTTTGAGCCATATAACATATCATATATGACCTGCCAACTAGTCTTCAAGGTCTTCAAACGAGATTGAATGTGAGGTACAGCTAGTATCTCGCATCCAGGTGACTTCTCCTCTATCATTCTTTGCAACTTCTTTAAACCTCCAGCCTTAAACCCATTATCTGCAACCAAGGTCCCATCATCACGAAGCTGAAGCAAGGATTGCACAAGAAGAGAGTCTTCCTCAGGTGTCCAAACATGATGGGTTGACTTTGTAGAATCGCCACCTGTCATGATCTTACTTAAACAGCAAAAATTATCATTAGTTTTAACATATCATAACACAATCAATTGCTATGAAGATAAAATATCATACATCACAATATTGCAAAGAAGGCAAACATCACTTAATAAAACCATTCATAATGTTGTCATTACACAAAACATACATCCACAAATTTTCAACTAGAATTCAAGTCACATCTAGATTTAGGTGTCTCTTCTAATGCTCACATACTGCCCCTATGACTCATAAGTTCAACAAACATTTCATTTGCCAAGGTATCACGAAAGTTAGCCCATGCATTTGATGTCTCAATTGTTTGAATGTAAGGTATCTCCATATCATTGGTATTTGTCTCCAATGCCTCTATGTCAATATCCAGTGGATCATCTCCTTGTCGACGGATCAAATTATGAAGGAGACAACACGCTATGATAACCCGATTATGGACTTGAGCGGGGTAAAATGAAGGACTCCTAAGAATAGCCCATCGTAGTTTTAACATTCCGAAACATCGTTCAATAACATTACGCGCAGATGAATGCCTCATGTTGAAGCATTCACGTGGAGTTAAAGGTTGCCGTCCATCCCTCCACTCACTTAAGTGGTATCGCTGACCTCGAAATGGGGCAAGAAATCCTTCACAATTTGCATACCCCGCATCAACCAAGTAATATTGGCCTACAAGAATAAAAGAAATTAACTTTAAGCTCATTACTACATTGATCATTACTAAAAAATAAATTAACATTACCTTGAGGCACTTTCAAACCATTCCTACGACTAATAGCATCTCGCAAAACTCTACCATCAGCAGCTGAGCCTTCCCAACCCGTTAAGACATATATGAATTGTCCATCCGGAGAGCAAACTCCCAACACATTAGTAGTTATTTCCCCCTTTCGATTTCTATATCTCGCTTTGTCAGCCATAGGCACCTTCACTTTAATATGGGTTCCATCAAGAGCACCTAAACAATACTGAAAATGGCAAATAATTAATTAAAAGAACAAGTAAATTATATCATTAATAAAAGTTGTGAATTAAGATATCAGATTACCTTAAACCACCTCCATTTTTCGTCCATTGAATCCTCAGTAATTGGCTCAGGTTTCTTTAGAAGCTCTCGATTCAATTTCATCATAGAGGTTAAGACCAAATTAAAATACCTACTAATAGTTTCACCAGACCTCCCAAAATAAAATCGTATAACTCTATTTTTTAAATGATGTGCAAGGATATGCAAGAACATTGCCACTTGCTCATCAACTAGCATGTTTTTGGTTGGTTTCAAACCTCCTATAACATCAAGCATAAGACATAACTTGTCGAATGTAGCTCTATTCATTCTAAGCTGGTTATAACAAGTAATGTCACTGTTATACACCAAGTTCCGTAAGTGGACTCTATTAGCATAGAAGTCTACCGTATATGGCCTTTGACTAATACGATTCCTACGCAAGGCTATAGTGGTACAAATGGCAAAGAAACATTGATACATAGAGTGAAGAACATGCATCCACCAAATCATCAAATGAACTATCACATCTCTCATTTCTGGATCCATAACTGTAGGTTATAAATTTTAAATATTAGGATAAAAAATTCTAAAACATCCAACAAATATCACTTTAATAGACTAGAAACAGTATAAAATTCTATTGGCAACAAAAACAGTATAAAATTCTAACATAAAACCCATATTTAATAGACTAGAAAATCATGAAACTCTAGTAAATCATCTTAAACTAAACACACATTGTGTCATACTAATTGTAAACAAGTTATAGATACAAAATCCACTAGTTATAGGCCTTTCAATATTAGATCCTGACCATGTGCAAGTAAGGAAAATAAATGGGAGAAACACTAAAATATGAGCTAGCCAAGTAAAGATAAACCAACAGTAGGTGGCAACAAAGTGGATAAGGGATCAAGAACAATTTGATTAGATGTATTGTACTTGAGATTGCGCTACAAAATTTTAGGACAGTCCCATAATAAATATTACCAGAAACGGATTGCCCATTTGCAAAACCTAGTCAAAGAAAGAAGATGAAGGAGATTCAAAGATCAAAAATTTTCAGATAACTTTTGCCACAGAAGTAAACTCTCGTACACTACACTTTCTGGATGCATGGTTTTGTGACAGTCACACTGAAAGCAGTGGGAACCACCGAATATAAAAAAATTTGGGTGGTGGAGTTGAAGATGCCGACAATATAGGCATCGTGAAAATAAACAAAACGGTGAATTTGAATTACTGTGCATCATCTGTAACTGGAAATCCAGAATCAGAGGAACATGCGAATAGCTTCAAAGATGGTGATAAGGCATCATGGTGAAGCTAGTCTCCGGTGGATAAAATTAAACACAATCTTTTATTAGGACAGTCCCATAATAAATATTTTCTGAAACAACAGCCTACAGTAAGAAGTCATGAATACGGCAAAAACACAATCTTTTCCAGAATTCCAGAGGCTATGTCTCTTCCTTTCAATAAAATTCTCCGCCTTTCCAATCTTCTCCGCCTCCTTTCAAGCTCGTCATTCTCTATTCTCCTTTTTTTTAGTACTAATTAGTTTAATTTTCTTACCCAGAAAAAAACCTAGCTTAAACAGGGGAGGCGGCAAAAGGATATAAAATCACGGAAGAAAAAGAATGGAGGAGGGAAGTCGATTGCCATACCTTGGTCGCGAAATCCAAAATACCAGTCCAGACCGCGTTGTCCGTCGTCTGTCTCGTCTTCAATCTTGCCACAGCTCTCGCCTTCTCTCGTTCTGCAATAGCTCTCAGCTTTCTCTCCCTCTGTCGCGACCGAGCGTGAATGTGTGAGTGAGGTGAGGCCGTGAGGGTTTTATTTTTTTTTGAGGGCAAATTTGTCATTTTGAAATTTGTATGAGGGCAAAAGTGTCTTAAATATTACAATTCTATAGAATTGCTCCCAATCCCAATTCCATAGATTTACATAAGGAATCCAATTCAGCTTTTTTTCATAGAATTAGGATTCCCAAGAATTACAATTCATATCTACCAAACATCACTTTATTCAGATACCTATTCCAATTCCATTTCCATCTTCACAATTCTAACCTACCAAACATGGCCTAATTCTAGATCCCTTCATCTGGAATTTTAGTCTTTTTAGGATCTTTTATGTACTTCACTTTGCCTTTTTAATATAATTTCTCTTAAATTCAAAAAAAAAAAAAGAAAAATTTGGTTCTAGTCCCAATTACTGCTATTCATCTTTGTCCTTCCTTCGCGTTCCGATGTTCTCTTCGGAAGCAATCTGAAACTTCAGAGTAGAGCACAGGCCGAAGCTTCGAAGTTCACACTGCTGTTCGCATAATTTCGGTCTTCGCACTCGCTGTTCAGAACTTTAAATCAAGGTTCATATCTTGCCGTTCTCGTTGCTGTATGCTTCTTTCCTATCGCGTTGGTCTCTGCTCCTTTCCTGTCGTCGTCGCTGTCTGCTGATCTCCTCTCTGCTTTCGTCGTTGCTGTCAGCTCAAGTCGCGTTCGAGGTCTCTAGGTTCGTCTGCTTCTTTCCTGCTCCGAGTCCGTTACCTTTCCAGTGTCGATAAAACATGCTTTATATCGTGTTCGTTTTGAGCCATGTGTAATGCCTAGTATGCTGTTTTGTTTTTTGCTCTGAGGTTTGAGTTGAATGTTTTCTGTTTGAATGATTGAACGATTGAAGCTCTGGGTGTTCAAATTTTGGCTCTGTGTTATGTTCAATTAACTTCTCTTCTTCTATTGGATATTCTCATGTTCAAAATTTGGTTGATACTTACCAATGCCCTGTATCCAAGCTTAGTTTACCTATTTTCTTCTACTGATCGTAAGTTTAGTTTTGGTCTTGGAAGAATTGGTACTGCTCTGACTTTTCACCTTGGCTTTCTCTTGTTTTTTGTATAGCATTCTTTGAATGAATTCATCTCCTCATTCCCCCCCCCCACCCAAAAAAAAAGGTGCATTGCTCTGAGTCATAGTATTATCTTTTTTGATTGATATGGATTGAATGACTGAAGCTGTGGCTCTTTATTCTCTCTCTCTCTCTCTCTCGGTACTAAGTTCTAATGGACAGCAATAACATAGTTGATTCTTCACCTCTTCAAGGATCTCAATCTCAACAACAAATTAATGAGCATGTTACAACTCCCTCAATCACTTCAAGTTAACCAATGGTAAGTAACAACTCCACCACTGAACATGACGTCGCTAGGGGTGTTATACAATTGTACTGAGTTCTACTCCCTCCGTTTCTATTTGTAGAGGAAAAAAAATTGTATCACACAATTTAAGAAAAACGGTTAACTATATTAATTGTGTATAAAAATAAAAGAATTGTACTACATTATTCTTTATTAATTATGCTAATCAAGCTTCATTAATTATTTCTTATGACTGTGAATGATAAAATTATGAGGGGTAATTTAGAAAATTTATAATAAATACCTATTGGAAAATGCGATTTTGCTTATAAAAAAAAAAAACAAACTAAAAGTCATAGTTTTTCCTATAAAGAAAAACAGAGGGGGTAGTGCTATTGTTGTGTTGTTGTCATTGGTTATGATGAATTGTTGTGTTGTTCCAATAACTTGGGTATATTGGAATAATTTTTATTTGAATTTATTACAGGTTTTAATTTAATTTTAATATCATGTAGGCTTTAAATGGCCTCAAAGCCTGTTTAAAGCCTACACATTGTAGGCTTTGAAGCCTGCTCAAGGCCTACATTTATGCAGCTTTTTATAGGCTTAAACCTCAAAGCCTACTTAAACCCTTTAAGGCATGATCCAAAAGCCTTTTTCAGGCTAGAGCCTAGGAAAGGCCTGCTTGCAGGCTTAGGCCTGTTTTGGCCAAACCCTGGTCTGAGCTGTTTCCACCCCTAGGGGTGTTCATTGATGAAGAAACATGAGGGCATGTCTGATATATATTTTTTTAGCAGAGACCAACTAAACAACTTTGGAGCTGCAGTGGGCAGTGGCAATATATTTGTTACTCCGTTTGATTGTTTAGTGCCAACTGAACTACTCCAGAATTTATGAAAGTGACTAGTCACTGTACATGAGAAGAAAAGAAATTTTAGTGAAGCTGTTGGAAACTTGTTGTAGTAAGATTGTAATTGAGCAGTTGCATTCACAGTGTTTGAAATCAGGTCTCACCCATGATAGGTTTATTGCAACCAATCTTAGTGTGCTGTATGCTAAATATGCATCAACAAGGCACGCGCATATACTGTTTGAAGAAACACCCTACAAAACTGCCTATCTATGGAATTCCATGCTTAGGAGCTTATGTAGGAAGAGAGCATGGGAAGAGACCTTACGCCTATTTCGCCAAATGATTGTTCAAGCTGTATCTGCTAAGGACAGACCTGACAGCTTCACATTGTCAGTTGCTCTGAAATCATGTACAGGTCTTCTGGAGCTTGAATTGGGAAAAACAATTCATGGATTTGTCAAGAAGAAGAATGATATGGACATGTTTGTGGGGTCGGCTTTAATTGAACTCTATGCAAAATGTGGACAAATGAATGATGCTGCCAAAATTTTTATGGAATATTCGAAACCAGATGTTGTTTTATGGACTTCAATGGTTACTGGGTATGAGCAGAATGGCAATCCGAGAGAAGCTTTGTCTGTTTTTTCCTGTATGACTGTGCAAGAGCATGTGAATCCTGATCCAGTTACACTTGTTAGTGCTGTTTCTGCTTGTGCTAAATTATCTGATTTTAGGCTTGGAAGTAGTATACATGGGTTTGTAATAAGAAGGGGCTTTACCACTAAATTAGCATTGGTCAACTCATTGCTAAATTTATATGCAAAAAGTGGTGCCATCAAGATTGCAGCTAATCTGTTCAAGGAAATGCCTAGTAAGGATGTTATATCTTGGAGCTCAATGGTTGCATGTTATGCCAATAATGGAGCTGGAAACAATGCATTAGATCTTTTTAATAAAATGATTGATGAAGGTGTGGAACCAAACTCAGTTACTGTAGTTAGTGCATTGCAAGCATGTGCATCCACTTCCAATTTGGAAGTAGGCATGAAAATTCATAAGTTGGCAGTTGATAAAGATTTTGAGTTGGATGTAGCAGTCTCTACAGCTCTGATCAACATGTATATGAAGTGCTATTCACCTGAAAATGCAATTAATGTATTCAAAAGAATGCCCAAGAAAGATGTGGTCACATGGGCTGCTTTGATAAGTGGGTATGCTCAAATCGGGATGGCACACATATCAATGGAGGTTTTCTGCAACATGTTATCTCATGGAACCCGACCAGATGCAGTTGCCATAGTGAAGATTCTTACTGCTTCTGCTGGATTGGGGATTCTTCCACAAGCTGCTTGTCTACATGGTTTTGTTTTTAAAAGTGGGTTCAACAGTAACATATTTATTGGATCATCTCTCATTGAGTTGTTTGCAAAATGTGGTAGCATATACAATGCAAACAAGGTTTTCAAAGTAATGATAGATAGAGATGTTGTTGCCTGGAGCTCTATGATTGCCGCATATGGGCTCCATGGGCAAGGAGAAGAGGCTTTGAAATTATTCAATCAGATGGTTAACGATTCAGATGTTAAGCCTAGCAATATAACCTTCCTTTCAATTCTATCTGCTTGTAGTCATGCAGGTTTGGTTGAGGAGGGCATAAAGATGTTTGATATGATGTTAAATGAGTACCAACTGAAGCCACAGTCAGAGCATTATGGGATAATGGTTGATCTTCTTGGTCGCATGGGAGATTTGGATAGGGCAATGGACATAATTAATCATATGCCCATGCCAGTTGGGCCTCATGTTTGGGGAGCCTTACTTGGTGCGAGTCGGATACACCAAAATGTAAAGATGGGGGAGATTGCGGCAATGAATCTTTTCTCATTAGATCCTAATCATGCAGGATATTATATACTTTTATCAAATATCTATGCTGTTGAGAAAAATTGGCATAATGCTTCAAAGCTGAGAACATTGATAAAGGAGAATAGGTTGAAAAAGATAGTGGGTCAAAGCATGGTGGAAGTAAAAAATGAGGTTCATAGTTTTGTAACTAGTGATAAAATGCATGCTGAGTCTGATCAGATTTATGATTTGCTGAGAAAATTAGATGTGAAATTGAGGGAAGAAGGGAATGCTCCTCAATTACAGGTATAGGAAATTTTATATGTTCTACTCATGATTGTGTGTGATCCAATGTCTGATTTCCAAGTTCTACTCGTGTTTTCTGACTCAAAAGTGTTTTAGTGCTGTTGCGATGTTGCCCATGTTTAACCTAACACTGTTACACGCCCAAAGCAAGGCCATTTTACATTAGGGAAGCTTTCCATTACTTCTGCTTTGTATATGTATTTATGAAGTCGTGTTATCGCTTGGTGTAGAAATAATATTTGATCTGTTACCCTTAGGAGTAGTTGTTTCTGTAGTTTTTCCTATGTTTGATCTCCCTATGGACTAAACAACAGATCTGTTAAGGACTAATAGTGGAAGGATGGAAGTGGTGCCGTGATAAGCATGTTAGTTCTTATTAGTCTCAATTCTCTTTTTGATGTTTATCTCCCTTCATTGTTTTTAATGTTTTGCAAGGAAATTAATTTATTGACAAAGCATATTATTTAATTTCTATATGATATTAGCCTTTGAAAAAATGGAGCTGATTTTTTGTTTTTAATGAAAAGTGACTCATACATTACTGAGAATTACAAAATGTTCCTTAGACATTATACTTCTTCCTTCCCCCTCCTCCTTATATAACCAGGGCGGAGGATGCTTAAAGTGGCACAAAAAATCAGGTATAGTCTGAGCATACCTCTGAAGACTATCTGCGCATCTAACATGTTCTCTAAACATAAAATTAAAGCTCATAAATTTGAATCTTCTAATAAGCATTCTTGTGTCCTGCAAAATATATAGTAGGGATGGTGATGTGTAAATTCCCTAGTAACTAAGCCTATAGCATAGGCACAATCAGAAATAACCTAAATGGAGTTGATTTTGAATGACCTAAACTACAATCATTGAATGAGATTCAATGACCAGAACCTCAGGTCGAAAATGCATCAGAAACCTGTCATAGCATTTTGTTGAGGATGTTGAATTTCGTATCTGACAAGGAAAAATTAGCAACTAAATTTAAATATGGCATAGAAAATTGTTCAAAGACTGTTTGAAAATTGTTCTCTTTTCTCTTTTTGTATGTGATATTTTTCTGTTTGACAAGAATCAAACAATTGTCAAGGCATCAATTATGGCATAGAAAGTTTCAGTGAACTTGAACTGTGCAATTTGAAACTGAGATGGAATGCTGGAGAGTGATAGATTGTACCATCAGTTAGGGCATGGATATCTAATGGATATATTAAATGAAAAGCCTACTAGACATCAAGTGTGCGAGAAGGAGCTGACATATAGGCTGATTTTATAAGATAGATATTCATCTGCAGCCTGTTGGACAAATTTATGATAGTTCTTGCATTAAGTGTAATAGATAGATATACTTGCATTGGACATTACTGAAAGTTGTGCAGTTTAACATACGCTGAACATTGTAAAGTTGTGGGCGGGGGGGTGAACATTGCAATGTTATATTAGCTGTCGTAACTTGAAAAAAAAAAAAGGTATATTGAGAAGGTGGAAACTTATTAGCTAGACATTGATTGCAGGTGTAGATGGTTGCTATCGATGGCAGAGGTGCATTACCCACCTTCTCTTCTACATTCAGTCTTTGCAGCACTTCTCTCTCCTGCTCCAGAACTTGTTCCACTTTCAGTCTCTGCCCCAATTTCAGTCTTCCGCTCCACTTGTGAACTTTGTTGCTGAGGTAATTTGAAGAACCATTAGAAATTTTAAAAATAAAAATGAACAGCCAGATTATGTTGAAATGGAGGTTATGACTCCTTCATTTTTAGCAAAACGGTGTGCATAAGAGATGAGCATGTGGTGCTCGTCTATCTAATGAGCATGGAATGCATACTCTCATTTTCAGTCCCACCTCTGTCAAAAACTCAAGAATGCTTCTTCGAAGGACAATACTCTCCTTCAACAATCCTCTTCATGGCCACCACCTTCGCTCCCTAGCCACTGCCTTGTGGGAACCCCACCTTGCCAACCCTATCACACCAGTGAACCCTCAACAGCTCCTCCGAGTGTGCACCATTCTCTACCAGCAGCAGAACTTGCCGGAGCCCAGACTCCACTCTAAGCTCCGATCCTCCGAATTTGATCTCACTCATGAGTTTTTCATTCAGGTATGCAACAACTTTCCATATTCATGGCGACCTGTGTACCGCTTCTTCCAGTACACCCAATTAAACCCATCATTCAATCACACCTCCATCTCCTTTAACAAGATGCTTGACGTAGTCGGAAAATCGAGGAACATTGAGCTTTTTTGGGATCTTTTGCAAGAGATGGGACGGCGTCATTTGGTTAATGACAAGACTTTTCAGATTGCGTTGATGGTTTTAGGTGCTGCTAGAGAGTTGAAGAAGTGTGTGGAGCTCTTCCACTTGATGAATTCCAATAACTATGCATACAATATAGGAACTTTGAACAAGGTGGTTGAGACTATGTGTGGAGGCAAGCTAGTTGTTGAAGCTAGATTTGTTGTTTTCAAGTTAAAAGAATGGATTAAACCCAATGGGGATACTTACAAGCATTTGATTAGGGGTTTCTGTGATGGGGGTGATGTCATTGAAGCCTCAAAAATCTGGAATTTGATGGTGGATGAAGAGTTCAAGCCTGACATGGAAGTGGTTGAGAAAATTATGGACACCTTTTTCAAGAAGAATCGGTATGACGAGGCTATTAAGCTCTTCCACACAATGAGGGTGAAGAGGATAGATGAACTTTGTCTCTCAACTTACAAGCTTGTGATCAAGTGGATGTGTAAGAAGGGAATGATCACTCAAGCACAGGTTGTGTTTGAAGAAATGCGCAAGAGGGGCATACATGGTGATAACTCAACAATGGGATTTCTCACATATGGGCTTCTAGCAAGAGGGAGAGTTAGAGAGGCTTATAAGTTTGTGGAAGGGATTGATGAACCAGATATAAGTGTCTACCATGGATTGATGAAAGGTCTTTTGAGGTTGAGAAGGGCAAGTGAAGCAACTCAGGTGTTTAGGGAGATGATCAGAAGAGGTTGTGAACCAACTATGCATACATATATAATGCTGTTGCAGGGGCATTTGGGGAAGAGAGGAAGGAAAGGGTCAGATCCGCTTGTCAATTTTGACACCATTTTTGTGGGTGGTTTAGTCAAAGCGGGCAGGTCATTGGAAGCCACAAAGTATGTGGAGAGGATGACGAACAGAGGGCTTGAGGTGCCCAGGTTTGATTATAATAAATTTTTGCATTACTATTCCAATGAGGAAGGTGTGATAATGTTTGAGGAGGTTGGGAAAAAGTTTAGAGAGGTAGGGTTAGTTGACTTGGCAGATATATTTGAGAGATATGGGCAGAAGATGGCTACTAGAGATAGAAGAAGAAACAGAGCTCCGTTGCACCATTGAAGGTTGTAATGAGTAATGACTGCAATTGTCTGAAAATCCGAGGCTATGCTGAATTATGTGGAGACGTCAAAGTACAACCCAATTTTTATCATATAACTGATGAGAAAATTTAATTAAAATAGTTCAAGGAAAAGATAAGATTCTCTTGTGAGCAATCTCCCCAGGTACTTTCATTTGTGATTATAAATTTTTGTCTGTTATTTTTTATTTGTTTATGCATTTATTCCACTGCAATCCGCAGGAATCATAATTTATTTTTTTTTATTTAATCTGCTTCGATCATACTTAATTTTACTCTAATCCGCTTTAGTTTGAGAAAAACGCAAGATTCTCTTTTGAAGAATTTCTGCTGTGGTTCGAGCTATATTTCCAAAGGATAAAATGCAGGGGGAATTTTGTGGCATGAGCGAATGCATCGGTATTATATTATAACGAGGTGAGGTTCAATTCTGATTGTTGTCGCCCCATTTCATGATATTCTTAGACATTTCAGTGGTTCTGAATTTCCGATGCATGACTCGGTGCAACTCTTGATTTTTTTCGAGGTTATGGCATTTTGGAGTAATGGGTTTTAGTTGGAGTTCTGCTCATTCTATGGCACCATTTACTTAAACTTAATGTCTCTCATTACAGGGGGAATTGCCTCACTATGATAATTAAAACCACAAAATTTATTGAAAATAAACATCATTTATCTACGCAGTATGACTGCATGAGACGTACAGTTTTCCCCCGTCTTTTTGTTCTCTAATTTTTCAGAGTGAAGTTGAGATAATTTCTAAAGAATATGTTTCTTCTATAATTTGTTCTTGCTATATCAATTTTTGTGATACAAATCAAATGCAATTTAACAATGAAATTCTTCTCTTCAGGTGCTGGCTCACCTGGTTGCTAAGGTTAGCTAACAACTGATGGAAAATTTTTGAAAAGAATTGGTGTTTTGTACTTTTGGTTAAAAAACTAATGTTGAATCAAAGGGATTTAGATGGATGAAATTACGGTGGTGGTCTAGTTTGATGGACAGTTTGAGTTTGAACAAATAAATATGCTGCTTTGTCGTGGTTGAAAATTGAAAACAATGAAGTTTCATTTATTTTTATTTGCTTTTCTTGTTGAAATATTCCGCATATGATGTACTTCTTTCATTTAAAATGTAAGGCATTTTTTGAAAAGTTGGATGTTAAAAAATATAAGATATTTTTAATCTTTCGAAATGTAATCATTGCTTTTTTTCTAAAAGTATTCCTATTGATAATAACTTTATATTTATTGTAGGGTATTTAATGGAGATGAATATGAAAATATAGAATTAGTTTGAAAGTAAGTAACTATTATTTTGGAGGGGAGATTTGGTTAAAAATGTCTTATATTTTTAAACGGAGGGAGTATATGAAAAATTTTCTCTTGAAAGCATATTATAAATGGAGTTAATAGCTATGCATGCTAGATTGACCCCTTGATTTTTTTTTTTTTGGCGCTATATATCTATTTTCTTTTCTTTTTGTTATTTATCATTTTTCTGTCAAGTTCCTATCATTGAATATCCTTTATATTTTTTTGGGAAAGGATTTCTTTAGGCAGGGTGTCCTGCTGAAGGATTTCATGGGATTAAATATATTGGTGATGGATCAAACTAATACAAAGTCATTACAATTGTTGTCACGTGGGATTCAACTTACAACTCTTAACACATAATTTTCTCGGGTTACGCTTTAATCTAACCTTTCGAACATATATCTAATTTGTTCTATAGATATTGCAGATTTGAAGGTATAGCATTAATCAAAATCCATTGTGGGTTGTGTTCAAATAGGTTGGGCTGTGGATTATCACAACCAATTAGATGGACACCCCCAAAAACACAATTGAGCTGTTAAAGAGAGATGAAAATGAGATCGCTTCATCGAAGAAAATGCAAGACTATCTCAACATTAGAATTGAAAAATAAGTGGGCTCAGCCTTTAAAGATTTAGATTTTAAAGCTTAATTTCTTAAAATTCCTCCAAATCTTGAGACTAATTCTTATGTAAAAGGTTTAAAGTCGGGCTTGTAAGCACAGTTACAAAAAATAAAAAAAATTAATATTATAATTTAATTAAAATATTTAAAATTAAACATAAAATAAATTAAGGTAATTACTCTAGTTAGCCAAAAAAAGAAATAATTTCTTTGGTTAAACTTGATAGGAATCGGAACACCCATTTAAGATAATCAAAGCAAAGTATGGCTATCTAACACCCATAACAAGACATTAGCTATGAGTGAAAAGCAAATTGTGAGAGGCGTGAAGGACAATAGATGGGATAGACATGAGGGTCAACTAGAGATGAAAATTAAGATGGGCTCAGTCTTTATGAGCCCAGATCGTAAAACTCAGTTACCTAAAATTTAATTTAATTTTGAGGCCTGGTCTTTATTTATAGGGCTCAAGGGCCCTTAAGTCCTTTTTCTGGAAAAAATTTAATATTTTAATTTAAACAGAATATTTTAAAATTTAACATAAAATAAATTAAAGTCTCACATAAAATTCAACAAAGATTTAAAATTTTAAATTTAAGTTGAAGATTAAAATTTTGTTGATGTAAATCTAAATCCTCATCATCATTATCTAAAAATAAAATATTAGATCCTTCAAATGTAGGTTCACTTGTTAAAAATGAAGGTGAAGATTTAATATCAATTATATATATTTATAACTTCTTCATCATCTATAATAAATATTAACCAAATTGTGTTATTATTAATCAAATATATGTATGTGTGTGCTTGTGTGTGCATGTATAAGATAACTCGGTTTATCAGGACTTGAAGGGCTGCCCATGCTTGAACTCTTTTTCACAGGGCTTATTAGGGTTAGACTCTCAAGCCTGATCATTTTAAAAAAAGTTTAATTTCTAAAGCTCAAATCCTTATTTAAATAGGGTATCCAAACTCAGCCTTTTAGGACCAGCCCTTGTTCTTGGATCTAGGAGCAACAGGGCAAGCAAATGCTGGAGGGAGAGTTGAGTGACTTTGTGTGAGGCAAATATGAGAGACGAGGCAGGGATCATTGAGGCCTAATAACAGAGCAGAGATGTCGAGTGAGGCAGAGATAAGTGATGGCTAATGGGAGAGCAGACGAGTGACTGTGAAATCTTCAATTTTTAAGTCGAGAGTGAGAGTTGAAAGATTAGAAATTAGAGAAGTTTAAGTCTTAGGTTTTTCTTCTACACACCATTTTTTTTACATAAATTGCAAGAAAAAAAAAGATAACAAGGCTTGGAGGGTTGCTTAGGCCCAACTCATTTTTTCAAGGCCTATCAGGGTTGAGCTCAAAAGCCCGATTACCTTAAAAAAATTTTATTTTTTAAATTTGAATCCTTATTTAAATAAGGTTTGTAGACTAAATTTTTATTTCCAACTCTACTCAACATGATTACTGTGGCACTTCTGACTGACGATTGTGATGCTAATTATACACTGCTTGTGACTTGGAATTGAAAGATGTGATAGCTGTGTTGGATCGGGTTCTACTAGATTATGTTTGTTGGATTAGTACTAGTAGGATTATTATGTTATGTTGGATTAGGTTTTATTTATGTGTCAGTGGTAAGTAGTAAGGATTGGCGCTGGC